AAGCAAATTCAGATTGTAATGAGATACCACGACACCCCTAGGAAAATGACTAAAACCACACCCACTGTCAGCAGGTAAGGAGGGAAGCTGGAACCCTCACACACTCTAGTGGAGACACATGTGTAACCACTTTGGAAAACCATTTGGCAGCTTGTTAAAAAGTTGATGAAACATCTACCACGTGATCCAGGCATTCCATCCCAGGTGTGTAAAGCATATGTTCATAGGAAGACGTATATGTGGATACTTAAAGTCATTTCATTTATGATAGCCCCAAATTGAAACAAGTCAAATGTCTACCAACAAACGAACACATAAACAAATTGTGTCATATCCACCCAATGACATACTATGTAGCAATAAAAAGAATGAATTGTTGATACGTGGGAAAAATGTGAATTAACTTTCAAATAATGATGCTGGGGGGGGGGAATAGCTAGATTTAAAAAAAAAGAAAAAGAAAAAGAGGTATATAACTTTCTGTAGTGATGGAAAACTCATCAGGGGTTACCTGGGGATGGAAAGTGTTAGGTGGGAGGAATTAGAGAGGAACATGAGAAAACTTGGGAGGATGAGAGATGTGTTCATTATCTTGACTGTATTATTGCTTTCACAGAAATATATATGTGTTCAAACTTATTAAATTGTCTATTTTAAATATTGCAGTATTAAAATTCAATTATGCTTCAGTAAAGCTTTACCCCCATAAAAACCTCAGTATATTAAAAAAAAAAAAACTAGTAAAGTTTTGAAGTTAAATCTGAACAAAGTATAGCACAGACAAAGAAAGTTATTAAAAGGAGGAGTGAAGAGGCATGAAAGCCAGAGAAGGTCTCATGTGTCTTATTTCAGTGTTTCAGAGATGTCTTATTTCAATGTTTGAAGAATAAGGGCTGGCAATTTTCTTGGAAAACAATAATCCACAAGTCATAAAAGCCGGATGGATTCCTAGCAGAATAAATAAGAAGCAACGTACGCCTACATACATCAAAGTAAAACTATGGAACACCAAAGAATGAAAAGAGATCTTAAAAGTAGCCAGAGATAAAAGACAGATGAGCAGAGCAGTAGCTGACTCACTGCAAGAGGGGAGCCAGAGGGCAGTGCAATGATAGCTTTGATGCTCAGAGAGAAAACAATTGTCAGACTAGAATCGCGTACCCAGGAAAAACAATTTTCAACAATCATGATGAAATAAATGTATTGCCAGAGGAATAAAAACTGAGAGCGTTCTCATCTCCAGAGGAAATTCTGAAGTAATTGATGCTATAGGTAGAAGATAATAATCCCAGGAAGAAGACTTAATATGCAGGAAAGAATGAAAAGACAGGAGGAGGGCAGTTATGTGGGTACATATACGGAACAACCAAAGAATCTGATAACAACAAACATTTCTCAGCACACGGGGAAAGGGTAAACTCTCACTCATGGGGTGAAACACTCGATAGCAATTAAGATGGATGAATCTGACCTATATACATAGACTTGATGAGATCTTCAGAGACATAATGTTGATCTTAAAAATGAAACTGAAGAATGATAAATTTAGTATGACATTTATATACATACTTTATGGACACAACACAATATTTTAAGTTATCAACGGAGATATTGATTTGCAAAGTATGAACATGAATTGAAATGATTTGTGCCCCAAACAGAAAGCTACATAATTATCCTTTTAGTTTCATTTTTGTTTTCTATACATTAGAAAGACAATATACTGTGTTTCCCCGAAAATAAGACCTACCCCCAAAATAAGCCCTAGCAGGATTTCTATGCATTTGTTAAATATAAGCCCTACCCTGATAATAAGACCTAGTGATGGTTCACATTTCGGCACGGAGTAAGACATCCCCTGAAAATAAGCCCTAGTGTGTCTTCTTGAGAAAAAATAAATATAAGACAGTGCCTTATTTTCAGGGAAACATAGTACAAGGTAATATTACATTAAGACAACTGAAGTGAAAATAGGCAGATGGAGGAAGAAGTAGGATTGTCTGAGGAAAGAACACAAGAGTTAGATGATGGATAGATACACAGGTGGGTGGATAGACGGATAGATATCTACATATGTAACATACGTAGGTGGGCAGATGGATAGTGTAGTAGGCAAACTAACTGACCCAAAGATGTCCAGGCCCACCCAAATGTCCAGAGTCTTTGAATATATTACCTTACATGGAAAAAGGGGCTTTGCAGATGTGATGGGGCTTCAAGATCTGGGATTATCCAGGTGAGCTCGATCTAATCATGAGTCCTCAAAAATGAAAGAAGCAGAGATTGGGTGGGAGAGGTGAGAATGAAGGAGAAGAAGGAGAGGTGTAAGTGTGAGGAGGCTCCACCGCGCCGTGCTAACTCGGCACAGGAGGGAAGAGCGCCACTGGCTAAGAACCTGGATTCTGCCCACAGCCCAGATGTGCAGGAAGTTGAGCTCCCCGGGAGCCTGCAGGAAGCAATGCAGCCCCTGACACTGATTTTAGCCCAGGGAGACCCACCCTGGACTTCTATGTACAGAATTGTAAAGTCATAAATGTGTGCCATTTGAAACAACACACAAAGTTTGGTGTAGAAAACTAATACAGACAGACAGGCAGATAGAACTCTGCATCAAAGAGAAGTTTTTCTGTCTGGTTATCTGCAAAGCCAATCTTTAGAAAATAGATCCTATGATGTGACTGCCTTCGGTCATAAATTACCATATGAAAAATAAATGGATTTCAACATATGCAGTCCTTTTGAAGAGAAAAAAACATGTTCTGTGCCTCCTAGCCTGCTGAGAGCCTCCTGAACAGGGACTCTGAAGCACATCTAGAATTGAGGGTCACCTTCCAGTATCTTCCCAACACTAGCACTCAGAATAGGAGACCGAGTCTGTGTCTCTGAAGATTCGCCAAGCAAGGAGAATTGGAGATACTATTTCTTCAGGAAGCTCTATCATCTAACATGCGACTTCATCACCAGAAAATTAATTAAATTTGATACTTCATGTGGATCAAACAAATCGGTAGCCTCCTTTATTAAATCTTTGCAGGCCAAATGCTGCCCAACTGGTGGCTTAATAAGAAATTTGTCTTTAAAGAAAGCCCTTCCCCTGTACAGCCAGTGTCATATTTTCTTATAAATCATTTCCCTAATCAAAGACGTGCCCCAGACGTTAAAAGCACAAGTCTCAGCAACTGCTAAAAACTTTCTAGTGTGACGATGGGAGGTGATAATGGAAAACGCTGGAATCCTACTTCTACTAAACGGTTAGCCTTGGAAAACCCTTCATTGCAGACACACCCTAGGTAGCGTGACCTCCATGAGTCTTATCTTTCCTTTACAGTGTGGGTAGAACCTGTAACTTTCTTCCAACTAATGAAATATGACAAAGGTAAAGGTTCTGTGTTTATGAGATTAAAGTCCCTAATCAAGGTGGATCATCTTAGGTGGGCCTTACCCAATCAGGTGAGCCCTTTAGAGGTAAGTTTTGAGGTCAGGCATTTCAGACATCAGAGATACCGTCTCCACTGTTAGATTTTACAAAGTAAGGGGGCCATGCCTCAGAAACAACTCCTGCCAACAACCTGAGGAGTCTTGGGAGCAGATCCTCCCTAGCTGACCTTCTGGGTGAGACTGCAGCCCAGCGACACCTTGGATTAGCCCCACGAGGCCTCAGCAGAGAATGCACCTGTAGCCCCAGCAGATCCTGTAAACTCAGGCTCCTGAAGGCATGTGGGGTGGTGCCAACAGATCACCAGAGTACGCTGGAAATGGAGACTCATAGGCCATGCCCCAGACCTGCCAGCACCAAAGGGAAACAGCAGGTGACCAAAGTGCCCAGTCCAGGCTAGGGAGCATGACCTGCTATTTCAAACCGGGGTCCTCAGGGAGGTGGTCTGACCTCTCTATTAATGCCATCCCCCTTATGGGGTCCTTGTAGGATCTAACCAGACAGCACATGCAGCAACACAATTAGTCCCCTGCCTGGCACATCTCCAGCTCTCAGCAACGTCAGTTCCGGAGATGGTGCCAGCAGACAGGGGGACTAAAGAGGAGATGTCCTCACCAACCTCCAGGTGCTGAGCACCTGTGGGGGAGGGGCAGGAATCCACTTTGCCTCTTGAAGGATATTTAGGCTTTTTAGATAAAATATCTACAGTAGGGAGGGAAGGGGACAACCACTCCAAGAGAGGAGAAGGTTGAGAGCCTGAATGTGGAGGATAGATGCATCAGTGACCTGGGTGCAGAGTGTGGCATAGGGAATGGGGCCAGGGCAGGGGCAGTGTCACACCACATCCAGTGGGAAAGGAGGAGGAGGTTACAGGAACAAGAACATAAAGCTTCTGGGGCAGATGGGGTGGGGGCTGGGTAAAGAATCTCTCTGTTAACTTCTGGGTAATGGGCAGCCTGAAGGGTTTTGAGCAAAGGAGCAAAACGATCAAGAATGACATGACCAGAGTGGCATCAGGGTCCTAAGTCCCCCCATTTGTTGTTGGTGCACATGTGCACATGCAAGGGGCAAAGAAGGGTCTGGAAGGGTTGTGGTCCTAAATGCTAACGGTGGTTATCTCTGAGTGGAGAGATTACTAGGGTGTTTTATCATCTTTTCTTTGCTCATCTGTATTGTCTAATTTTTCTGCAAAGGACGTACATTGCTTGCATAATTAAAAAAGCAATAAAAGCTGTAAATAATTAACATGCTCTCTCTTCAGGACTTAAATTGGATGAATGTGTTTTCAACCCAGTTATTTCAAATATTTGCCAGATTCCTGGCCTGAGAAAGGCGCCATTGAAAAACACACAGGTGGTGGGGCTAAGCTGGGCCAACTGACGGGAAACAAATGTGGTCCTTTAATCTGGTCTCTCCACACGCAAAACACGGCCACGGTCCCCGCCGCACAGAGCTGCCTTTTGGATTCCATGTTAAGCAGGTCTTGGAGGCTTCGCCAAATTGCAGGGTGCAATTCCTGAAACCGGGCATGTGTGGAAACGACAGAGGTGGCCGCATGCCCTACCTTTTCGCCGTGATCCTCAGTTTTCTCTGCTTGCCGCTCCCACGTGACATCTTGCCCCTCCTCCGAGGCAGTCCTTTCTTCCCTTCTGGCTCAGACACTGGGTCCTGGGACATCACCCCTGGGACTATCGGGTAGGAGAGCTGAAAATACCAGGCATGTTGGCATCATATTGCTCAAGGCCTCACAATGGGGACAACCCAGAAGGGTTCTCTGTCTACAGAAATCAAGGAACAGAAATGCTGTGTGGACAAACAGCCTGAGCCCCTGGGAGGTGCCAGCCAGGTAACTGCAGAGCATGCCTGGACAAAACCTTCTGAAACTCCGCCTGTGCTGGCTCTGCACAGGCCCAGAAACACCACCACCAGCTCTTTTTCCCACCTCCCCAGAAGGAGGGCTAAACTGTGGGACCCCGCATTGCAGTCTCAACACATTCTTAATGAACCCGCCGCTCTCAGGTGAAGAAAGCAGCTCCCCCACCTTCAGGCTCCCCCTGGGGAAGACAGAGAAGCTTCAGGGCTCTGGAGTCCAGGCCGAGTCATTCATTATCTAGTAGGGGTACAGCTGGGGCCCCAGGACCCTTCTTGGCTGGGCTAGGGCCTCAGTTACAAAATCCAGTGCATGGACTTGCCCTCAATGAAACTACAAACTTACCATCTAATGACCAGTAAGGACACTCACATTTCCTTCCTATCACCGTTCCTGGGAACCTCAGAGGTAGGTTTCTGCCCAATCACAGTCATTATTTGTCCAAAGCCCCTGTTATAAGGCCTTTTTTTTTTTTTTAATTTTTTGGCAGTTTTTGGCTTGGGCCGGGTTTGAACCCACCACCTCCAGTATACGGGCTGGCATCCTACTCCTCTGAGCCACAGGCACCACCCAGGGACCTTCTCCTTCTAAGAGTGTTTTGTTTTGTTTCTGTCTAAGGCCTGCCTCTCAGTAGGAGTTTCTGATTTACAATCTCGATTACCCAGAAAGCGCTCCTCTGTGGTAGAGTGTTGCGTTTTCCTTTTTGCCTTTGTTACCAGGAAGCTCAGTTAAATATTATGTCTGGTTATGAACGATATCCAGAGCAGAGGTTCTCAAACTGTGGGTCAAGACCCCTTTGTAATAATGAAAATACATTACAGCATTAGGAAGGTTGAGAACCACTGATGTAGAATCTCAGTTACAATAATTCTTCTTTGAGATTTATTTTTGGGGGACTTTCTTTTGCTTTTATCTGAATTTTTGGCCTCGATTCTTTCCCACCCTAAATGTAGTAGCCCCAACCTCCCCTGGGAACAAGCTGAGCAAATATAATGAACACCGAGGGACAGCTTCACACTTTACCTCCGCCCGCCAAGCACCTCTCTCAGCCCCAGGCGTTGGGCAAAGCTGGGCATTACCTTGGATATCTGGGCTGGCCTTCCTTCTCCAGGCCTCATCCGGGCCCATCCTCTGTTGTTCGAGGGCAGGGCGTCAGGACCCTCATCCTGGAGACTGCCACCTGGGCAGTGCAGGGCCGAGTACATGGATGCCAACTTCCCCTTCTGCTCCATGGGCAGAGGAACGCTGCGTCTCAAGCAACACCATGTAAGCCGGGGCTCAGCCTTCAGTGAGGGGAAGGGGCTCTGGGCCCTGCAGCTCCTGGGAGTCCCTGAGTGGGAAGACAAGGCCAGCTCGGGCCAGCTGGGGGACACAGCCTGGGGCCGGGGTTGAGCTCTGATGAAGGAGCCAGGCTGGAGGGGACAGCAGGGACTAAGCCCTGCCAGAGGCCCTGAAAGAGGGTCTTCCAGAACACCCCCAGATTCCCAGCTAGGCACCCAGGGACTCGAGACAGCCCCAGAAGGCCTGGCCCTTGGGAGAGTACCGCCCATACAGAGGTGATGAATTACATGGGTCTCACCCTCCCTGACCTGGACTGTGGGGGCCTCACATGTGGGGGTGGGTGGGCAAGAGGTGGTCTCCCTGGGGGCCCCTGAGGCTGGGCCAGGGGACAGAGAGGTCCCAGGGCCTGATTTAACAAAGGATACCTCTTCCTCAGGCTGCCTAGTCCTGCAGAGAATACCCTGGCCTTGCCCAGGGCCCTGGGGAACAGGCAGTGGAGATGGGGGCTCTGTCTGAGGTAACCTGAGCAGGTACTTGGGGGAGAAGGCATTGTCTGCTGCAGTGGTGAGGACACCAGGAGCTTGAGGCTGGGAAGTTGGTGGGGTTTGATGCCCGGGGGCCATGGTTGCAGAATGCCACAGGGACACCTGGTCCTTCAGCCCTATTTGCTTTGGGACAACAGAAGCAACTCCAGAGGAGGCTCCAGAGGACTCCAGGGGCTCCCCTGCCTGCCGGGTTCTCTGGTGCTCCCCCAGGTCGATATCCTGCTCCTGGGAGGTGGCTTGTGCAGATCCCCCTGGGGCCTCTGCCCCCACTGGCTCTGGTGGTTCCCAGCTGCCCGGCACCTCCACCTTCAGCTTCTTCTTCTCCGAGGGGAATAGGTCTTCCTTGGGGCCACCACTGGGCTGTACAAGGACCGTTTGTGCCCAGGCACAGGTCTCCTTCACACCCCCACCACCTTGCGTACCACCTTCTAGCTCAGGGTCTGGCAAACTCTGTCTGGGAGCCTCTAGGTTATCCCCTTTAAAAGTGGCAGGTGCTGGAGGTGGCTGCTGCCCCAGTTCCTGCCTCCCATTTGGAGGAAGCAGAGAGTTCTTGCTGCCCAAATAGGGGACATCTCTGTCACTGAGTGTGGGGGATGACACAGCCCTGTCCACCCTGGGCTGGTCACTGTCTCCTTCTCTGGCCTCAGTCTCCCTCTGCTTAGGGGGCTCAGGCACCAAGGAGGCCTCTGTGGCCTGCAGGCTTCCCCAGGGCTCTGGCCTGGCTCCTCCGGAGATATTCCCAGGGTCATCGACGGCCGCAGCCTTTTCCTGTGGAGGAAGGTCCAGTTCTGTCCCACTGCCCCCTCTCACCTCCCTGGCTCTCTTGCCTGCCTGGGGGCTGGCCTTTGTTTTCTGGTAGATTCTCTTGAACGTCTCCTTTCCATACACTTGCCACTTCTCCTGGGAGAACAGCTTCAGCCTCCTCTGGCCACATTTCTTGCTGGCCCCTCTGCCCTTGCCAGCTGCCCCCTCCCCGGGGGCGGTTCTCTTTCCATCCTGGTCCTCTGTGGGGCCTGGGGCCTCTCCAGGGGACGTCCATGGCAGGTCTTCCACAGCAGCCTGTCTGACCAGGGCTCGGGGGTGTCCACTGGCGACTTCGGCCCAGGTCAGCCCTGAGCGGCAGCCGAGCCTGGTGGGGGTGAGCCTGGGGCTCAGGGGCTTCTGCGTCCTGGGACAGGCGTCCCGGGTGCCCAGTGGCTCCCGCCACGTCCTGCAGCCCTCAACAAAAGGCAGCGAGTTGCTCCTGGTGACCGGGACGCACTCCACGGTGCTAGAGAGCTGGGTGGGGACGGAGTGGAAGAAGAGGGGCCGCGCGGTGTCTGGGGGCGTCCAGGTGGAGCGCGCAGCCCCAAGGGCGGCCCTCCTGCGGCCAGGCTCGGGGGCGCGGATGTCGAAGTGGAAGGAGTCCTTGTAGGTGTAGGGCAGTGGCAGGTCGATGCTGCCCTGCTTGCACAGGCCGGTCTTGCGGGGCCGCACGGTGTCCAGCTGGGCGTCGTCCACCACCGCCTGGTTGTGGGAGATGAGCCGGGCGATGCGCTCCTCCAGACGCCTCTTCTCCAGCTCCAGCCCGGCCGGCCGCGCGCTCCCCAGCGCCGGGCCCACCTCACCCTCCGACTCGGCGCTGTGCTCCGACAGGCTGTGCAGGGGGCTGGGGGGTGCCGGCGGCTGCTCGGCGCTGTCGGAGCGAGACAGGTACCCCGAGTCGGTGCTCTCACACTTCCTCAGCCGGCCCTCGGCCGCCTTGGCTTCCCAGGGCTTCTCGGACGACGTGGCCTGCTGGCGCTGCAGCAGGCTGGGCTTTCCGCCCGCAGGAGACTTCTGTTCGAGCAGCTTCCGCCAGGGTTGGGAGCCGGCCACAGGGAGCCCGGGGGGCACAGTGAGGGCAGAGTCCCCGGGAGTCTCTCGGTTGGCAGATGCAGACCCCGGGCAGGGAGCAGCGTCTGTCTTCACATCTAGGTTCTTGGCAACAAGGAACACTCCAGCGCCCGGAGAAAGAGGCCCCTCAGATGCGCTCTCATCTAGCCTCTGACTTCGGCTTTCCCCGCTGCCCTCTGGTCTGGTGGTCTCTCCAGCCTTGTCCCCCTCTTCCAGGAGGCCGCCCCCGCCCCCCTCGGACTCCGAGGACAGCCGGGAGTTGTTGAGGTGTGTCTGTGTTCTCCTGTGCTTGTACAGATTGCTCTGGGTCTTGAAGGCGATGCCACAGGTGGCACACGGGAAGGGCCTCTCCCCGGTGTGGGACCGGATGTGCTTCTCCAAAACGCTGGGCTTGAGGCAGTCCCTGCCACAGTGCGGGCACAGGTGCTTGCCGGCATTCCGCAGCTTGCCCGGGCTGCCCAGCGGGGGTCCCAGGCCCGGAGACAGGACGGGCAGAGCGCCCACGATGTTCACCGTCAGCGCTGGGGCCGCTGGCTTCCCCACCTGGGCAGGGCCAGGCCCTTCAGGCCGCAGTAGGGGGCCAAGGATGAAGGGCACACTGCCTCGGTCCAGGCTGCCTGTCACTACGGGGGCGCGGGGCTGGAGGCCCCCAGGAGGCATGGTGTGGTACAGTGGGATGGGCAGGGCCTTCAGGAACACGGCGGGGGCCAGGCCTTGCTCCGGAGGCAGGATGACAGGGCCCAGGGTCAGGCGAGATGAGGCCTGGCCACCAGGGGCCCCAGGGTGGCCAGGAGTGGGAGGTGGCTGTTCCCTGGCAGGAGGTGCAGGGCAAGCAGGTTCTGGAACCTCCATTCCACACCATCTGGGCAGCCCAAGATGCCGGACAACCTGCAGGCAACAAGCAGACTTTACCATGGGCACCACTATTCTCTCATCAGTAAAGTCTTCCCTACCCAGCATTTCATCACCCCACTGAAGCCTCACGACAATCCCCCAAGAAAGTATTCTCATGCTCAAATTGGAAAAGGGGAAACTGAGGCTTAGAGAACAGAAGTGATTTGTCAGGCAGCTGATACACAACAAAGCAGGATTCTGACCCAGGTCCATCTGAATCCTGTCTCTCATTTAACGTGACCACAGGGCACTCCTGATTCTTGTCCTCTACATAGGTCCTTAGCAGATTTGTCAGGGTCATGCCCTGACACTGGCACAGCACCCCATGCAAAGAAGGCATTCAGCAAATGTGAACTTCATGAAAAGGAAAAGCCGGGCAGCTAGTCCAGGTCCTAACATCCATAGTGATTTCATACAAGTCCCTTTCCTTATCTGAGATCCAGTTTCCCGGTCTATAAATGGATAAGGAATCAGGTCCAGGCCACTCTGGTGCTCTGAGTCTCTGTAACAGGAGGAAAACTGTAGGGAAAAAACTGGCCCAAGGGAGGGTTTGCCAGATTTAGGAAATAAAAATCCAAGACTCAAAGTTAAATTTGAATTTCAGACAATAATGCAAAATTCTTTAGAGTATATCCCAAATATTGCATGAGAATTACTTTTAGTGTAAGTATATCCCAAATCACACATGAGTCATGCTTATGTGAGACCCAAACTAATTACCTCAAGTCACAAGTCAAACTACCTCCTTTTGCTGTTTATTCAGGACATTAGGCCGCCACATACCAAGGACCTTATCATACCTAGGTGTTATAACCCACATCCTGACCCCCTCCCCTTGTCCCACTAGCCCCCTTGTGCACTCAGCCCACATCCTGACCCCTCCCTCCCCTTTTTGCACTCGCCACTCTACTCTGCACTCGCCCCACTTGTGACCTTTATCCTTTCCTTCTCATTCGCTCACCTGAGACAAAGAGGACTTGTCCCTGAGCCAATCAACCCTGAACACGACCACCCTGTACCTGTCAGTTTAAGACAGACATGGTTTACCTACCAATAAGGGAATGGGGTGGGATGGTCTAATGGGAGGGAAGAGGGTAAGGTATAAAGGAATTGTCTGAATAGTCTGTAAGGGCTGTTCCTGCTTTTTCTTAAAGGGCAGCCCAGGCTCTGAGCTTGAATAAAATTCCTCATGCCTTTGCAGCGATGTTCGGACTCTCAGAGTGGTGCTTGAATTGAGTCTGGGGGTTAACACTTATACTAAAACACTGTGCATTGTTTACCTGAAATTCAAGTGTAACTGGTCACGCTATGATTGATCTAGTAACACCACTTCTTCAGCCTCAAGTCAAGGCTTAGGTCTTCACTCAAATATGGAACCTCCAAAGCCCCTTTTAGACCCAAATAGAACAAAATTGGTTCCCTCTAAACCAAGAGCAGGGCAGGTAAGCAAGAGAGGCCCAGCTATGTTCTTCAAGTCACAAAGAAAAAGCCAGATGCAGTCGGGAAATTTTGGACAGGCTAGAGGATCAGGGGTCCCCAGATCCGTTTTTCCATTCCCTAGGAGCTCCATGAGCACTCTTCACCCATCCCCAACTCAGCTCCCCAAGGGCAAAGTCCACATCCCCACCTTTAGCAGCAAGGTGGTCTAAGTAGGGTTATGCTGGAGCCAGCTCGGACCACTGTCACTGGCTCAAGAAGACTGATTGTCAACTTTGTAGGAATTTTGCTAGTCAGTTGTTAAACACAGCCATAATTAAAAGTTTAACTACATAAATTTACAATTAAATAATTATATTAAAACTAAGATAGATACTACAGGGTGGCACCTATAGCTCAAAGGAGTAGGGTGCTGGCCCCATATGCTGGAGGTGGTGGGTTCAAACCCAGCCTTGGCTAAAAACTGCAAAAAACAAACAAACAACAACAACAACAAAAAACAACAAACAAAAAAAAAAAAACAAAGATACTACACCTGGATATCTGCAAAAGAAGTTGGACCCCTATGTCATACCATATAATAAAAATTAATTCAAAATCAGCCACAAACCTAAATGTAAACACTATACTACTCCTAGAAGAGGAAATAAGGTTAAATCTTCATAACTTTTAGATTTAGCAAAACATTTTAAAGATATGACATAAAAAGTACAAGCAACTAAAAAAAGAGAGAAATTTGACATCAAAATTGAAAACATTTGTGCATCAAAGGACACAAAGAAGTGAAAAGACAATCCACAGAAGGGGAGGAAATATTGGGAAATCATGTATATAGTGTGTAGATACAGAATATATAAATAACTCTTACAATGCAACAGGAAAAAGACACATAGCCCAATTTAAATGAGCAAAGGACTTGAATAGACATTGCTCCAGGGCAGATCTACCAATGCACATCAAAAGATGTTCCATCCCATGAGTCACTGGGAAAATGCAAGACCACAATGAGCTATGACTTCACACCTAGTAGCACAGCTATTGTAATAATAATAATGAACTGAAATAACAAGCATTGGTGAGGATGTGGAGAATTTAGAACCCTTAGGCAAGGCAAGTGAGAATATAAAATGATGGAACCACTTTGGAAAATAGTTTGCCACTACCTCCAAAGGTGAAACGTGAAATTACCATATGACCCAATAATTTTGCTGTGAAGTATATACCCCAAAGAATTGAAAACAGGTATTAAAACAAAAATATGTCCATGAATGTTTATAGTTGCTCTAGTCAAAACAGCCAAAAGGTAGACATGACACAAATGTCCACACAATCAAATGTTACTTGGCCATGTAAAGGGAGTGTTGATAGATGGCACAACAAGGATAACTTTGACAGTACTATACTCAGTGACGGAAGCAGACGTGAAAGATCACAGGCGGTATGATTCCACGTGTATGAAAAACCTGAAACAGGCAAATTCCTAGAAACAAAACAAAGGAGAGTGGTTTCCAGAGAGCGGGACAGAATTTGGAGGGACTCCTTAACTGGGCTTTCCTCTTGGAGTGGTGAAAATGTCTGGGAACTAGATGAAGGTGGTGTGCACAAAACTATGAATGTACTAAATGCCACTGGATTGTATGTTTTAGTTAAAATGATGATTTCACTGTTCTGTGAAATTTTACCTCAATTTAAAATGGGCACTGTCTCAAAAGAAGAAAAAAAGGTACTGCCTTCAGTGCAATGCTCTACCTCCAAGGTAAACTCACCCAGAAATTTTTGAACAAAACCCAACTTCCACAATGGTGAAAGGATTAAAAATGTCCATTGGACATCCAAAAATCATGACACCCCAAACACAACCAGACTTATCAAGTCTCTCAATTAATCTGAATGATTTAAGTTGTCCTCCAAAGAGGCACAGGCTGGATGAATGGATACATTAACTCAGACCAGATATCTGCTGTATACAAGAATCTCATCTTACCTTAAAGGATAAAAATAGACTTGGGGTGAAGGGACGGACTTCACTCAGGCAAATGGAAACCAGAAAAAAGCAGGGATTGTAACTTTAGTTGCAGATACAGTTGGCTTTAAACCAACAAAGATAAAGAAAGATAAGGATGGTCACTACATATTTGTCAAGGAAAACACCCAAATGAAGACATTTTGATAATTAACATTTATGCACCATACAAGAATGTTCCTCGATTTATAAAGCAGACCCTGATGGATATGCACAACTTGATATCTTCCTGCAATATAATAGTTGGAGATGTTAACACCCCTTTGACAGTTTTGGACAGATCCTCCAAGAAACTAAACAAAGAAATATTAGACTTAAACCTGACCCTAGAACAAATGGACTTTACAGACCTCCACAGAACATTTCACCCTAATAAAACTGAATATACATTTGTCTCATCAGCCCACAGATCATCCTCCAAACAAGATCATATCCTAGGACACAAGTCTAACCTCAGAAAATTTAAGAGAATAGAGTTTATTCCTTGTATTTTCTTGGACTACCATGGAATAAAAGTTGAACTCAACAGCAACAGGAATCTTCATACTCGGGGTCATGAAAACCAAATAATCTTAGGCTGAATGATAACTGGGTCAAAGATGAGATTAAAAAGGAAATCACCAAATTGTTGGAACAAAATGATAATGAAGACACAAATTATCAAAACCTGTGGGATACTACAAAGGCAGTCCTCTGAGGGAAATTTCTAGCACTGGAAGCCTTCATCAAGAAAACAGAAAGAGAGGAAGCCAACAACTTATTGGATCATCTCAAGCAACAGGAAAAGGAAAACCATTCCAACCCCGAGCCCAGAAGAAGAAAAGAAATAACCAAAATTAGGGCAGAATTAAAAGAAATTGAAAACAAAAGAATCATTCAGAAGATCAATGAAACAAAAAGTTGGTTTTTTGAAAAGATTAACAAAATTGATAAACCTTTGGCCAACTAACCAGAAACAGAAAAGTACAATTTCTAATACCGTCTATCAGAAACAATAAAGGAGAAATAACAACAGACACCTCAGAAATTCAAAAAATCCTCAATGATTACTACAAAAATCTTTATTCTCAGAAATATGAAGATCTGAAGGAAATAGGCCAAAACCTAGAAGGACGCCACCTTCCTAGACTCAACCAGAAAGAATTAGAAATCTTGAATAGACCTATGTCAACCACTGAAATAGCATCAACAATACAAAATCTCCCAAAAAAGAAAAATCTGGAACCAGATGGCTTCACATCTGAATTCTATTAAAGTTTTCAAGAGGAGCTAGTACTTATACTATACAACCTTTTCCAAAGCATAGAGGAAGAAGAAATTCTTCCCAACACATTCTATGAAGCAAATATCACCCTGATCCCCAAACCAGGAAAGGATCCAACAAAGAAAGAAAATTATAGACCAATATCATTAATGAATATCGATGCAAAAATATTCAATAAGATCTTAGCAAACAGAATTCAACAACAAAATCAATACCAAAAAAATTATACACCAT